TCGCTGTGTGACGCAGCTTTTCTCAGCTTGTCTAACTCCGACACTGAAGAGGAGGACTTCGATGGTTTCAGTGTGCTGGAGGACGATGAATGAGATGTTTTGTTGGACCAGAAACTGTTAAAGAAAACTACCAAAGTAAGGTCAGTTAAATGAACCGTATTCCTCCGAACTTTAATTCCTAAAGGTTTACTTTTTATGTTTTGATTTTGAATTCACTTTTTTGACGACAAATTTGGGTGTACTGTTTTTTTATGTTGGGGGTGCGGCTTATAGTCCGAAAAATACGGTAGTTTCATGTTGGGCCAAACATTTAGGATCCAAAGAAGCTTTAAATGTCTGTCGACTTGTTTCTGTCCGGCTGAGGAGTGAGGTGTGCTAATTTATATATTAGCCTATGATAACAATGCTATCGCTAACACTAACAACGAGTTTAACCCTTGTCATTTCTACATGCTTGGATCTACTTATAAATAATTTATTTAGCTTCTGTAAATCCAAATTCAAGTAACTATCCAATACAATATCAGAAAAAAGGATTTAAATCATACATTCCTGTTAGAAAGTGGTCGCTACAAACTCACTTCAGAATATGAAAAAACTTTAATATTTCTCCCAAATAGAGTGGTTGCAACAACCGTACATGGCCCAGAATTTAGGCATTTTGACGCTGAAACAACAGAAGGAAATGGGGCTGTATTTACTTCCTGCCACCGTCTGCATTTCGTGACGTCAATTCGTCATCAACAACCCAGAAATTGTGAGATTTATACAGAAACCATCAAATACAATATAATTAATACGCCGCTTTCACTTCTATATAAAACATTACAAAGATTTGGAAACAACGTGTCGATAAGCTGCTAAAGTTTGACCTGATTGTAACACCAGAGGGTTTTTTTTTCTGGCTCAGTCACTCAGTGAAGCCATTTGTTTGATTGAAGGATACGAGCCCACACAAACACTGTTTGTGAGTTCAAACCTCTTCAACCAAGAAGCGATCGGGTTCAGTTCACATCTGACATGAACACATCTGGTCCTACTTTAAACCAAAAGGGTGAACGGAGTGCGATGATGATGATGATGATGATATCTACGTGTAGTATTTCTTTACACGTTTCCTTCTAGTGGAGACTGGATGATTGTTCATGCAAATCTGTTATTTAAAACTTTTTTTGGACCATTTGCCACAATCTGGAGTCTCTCCAGACAAAACAAGAAACAAAAACAAACTGCTGAGAACCCAACGCTCCTCTGTTAAGTCAATAAAGAAGAAACATCCATCTACATGGACAATATTCACAAAACATATTTGTTGACAGAGGTCATACCACAGCTCCGTAATCCAAGGTGACGGAGGTTTTAGCGAGTCTGTGCTTGGGTCACCAGCTCATGTGGCTCCACTTTCCTGAAAAAAACAAATAAATAAAAGAGAGAGAGGAGAAGAGGCAACTTAAAGTCACAACCTTAAAAGAAGAGGTCATGTTGAAGTTGATCACATTCACCTTTCGCAATAATTTGAGGAAAAAGCATCAGAGTTCACTTTCTGCTGCTTCAGAAGAGGTGAATAAATGGTGTAAAAATGTTGTCCTGAACTGGTGCAGTTTGAACGTTTATTTACAGATAATTCTGAAATGCAGGTACTCACTCAATGTAAACAAAGCACTTTGCTTAAAATGCCAATTAGCAGAAAAAGGTTGAAAGACTCACAGGAATGATTAAACTAGCAAAACAATATCTAAAAAAAGGTTAGAAGAATAGTTTAAAGGCAGAAAAAAGCTGAAAACAAAAAACAGCCAAATTCATTTTAATGAGGAAAAAAGGCAGGAAAAGCTAAATATCTCAAAAATTATAAATTTCATACAAACAGTTGAAATAGTACAAGATATGTGCCGAAAAATGCATGGAAGAAAAAAATATACTAATACCATTAACACTGATAAAAACACTTGACTAATTTCTATTCAGTCAGTAGAATCTGAAGTAAAGAATGATGATTTCTAACCAATAATGTATTG